CTCTTCATTAAAATATCTTGTAAAAATGTTTTTGACTAAAAAGAAAACGATATGGCATGTACAGAAGAAAACAACAGTCGTCTACAATTAGAATGATTCAGCGACTTTACAAGATTTAAATTTCTCATAACAACAATAATAGTGAACACTTCTTTTTTTGGACTTTATTGTACGCTCACCCACTCCCTCTTTTCACAGCTTCTTCATTACATCTTTTTTTTTGCTCTTGCTTCTTCTCATTATGGTACATGCCCGACAATTTATTATTAATTTCTGTTTTCACTATCAAATTAAATTTCAACGAAATAAACCTGAGTGAGAAAAATGTGAATATGATGATTTCAGTTTATGATCATCATCATGATGTAAAAAAAACCTATATTTAAAAAGGAACACTCAAATCTCACTGTGCAAATTACGATGTCCATTGTATTACAATAAAAAAAAATCTTCTTTTATGAAGCACTTGATAATTAAATTTTAATATATGAATGAGATGATTATGTGAAAAATTTACAGTAAGACATGATGATATTGTTAATCTACCTTGTCTGCGTGCACGATTTTGTATGAAAATGAATTTTTTTTGAATTTTCAGGTGGGAGTCATTTAGGTTAAATGTCTGTAGCTAAAGTTGAGGGAAAGAGCTACTTTGTGAATATTATAGTTGCTCTATTTTGTCACTGTAGTGGTTTTTAGGTCACATAGAGGATATTGGCAACAAATAATCGTTCTTCTTGTAATTTATCCCTGTGAGCTACTAAATGAAAACATTAGAAATTGTATAAAATCATACGAACATAATTAAAGACGAGGAGGTCTAAAAATCAAATTTTTCGATAGACATCATTTATATACGACCTATCTTAGTGAATTATATTACTTTTTGTTTGTTAATTTCTGCTTTTATATGTAGAGCAGCTTTGTGCATATTGTATCAACAGCCAACAGATATGGAATTGCAGAAAATTAGCAAAAACCTCAACGAACAATTATTGCACGCTTTTCAAAATCCCATCAAAACCTTACAACTCTTCATCAACCAAAGCCCATAAAACAACATCCATCTATGAAACCATCCCACTTTCAAAACCTCTATTCTGAACTACATACAACATTTTCCCGTAATACAAATTCAATCGATTCAACACATTCTTGTTAATTCTAATGCGTAAAAGTTCATCAAACTATAATAAACAATGAAAAGAGATTATGAACCAGCATTGTAGAAACAATATATTCACATAATTCAACACAGCATATCAAGAAGAAATCTCATTTTTCATTTTCAGCAATTTTACTGCTTATATTTTTATATTTTATTTCTTTTCAAAGTGTATATTCTTCCTTGTATGAAAGAATATGTGCGTTATGCATATTCATAATGTTAAAATGTTGTTTATGTGAGCAAATAATAAATAACAGAACCGCTATGATGAAATCTTTTTTCGATTATTCACAGCATTGGATAGTGCGTTAAAGGAATTTACTTGATGAAGTTTATAAATTCATAATTGGATGATGCTTTATGTTTATAAATTGAGGTCGTTAAGTGCCTATCATGAAGTTAATGAAATATTTTCCCTTGACATTGTCTTGATGTACTTAATTTAATTACATTACGTAGTGCAGTGTCTGCTAAGCAGTTTTATAAGTTGGGAGAAGACTTGAGGTAGTCGATCGAGCGACAATGCTGGTTGTCTGATAGTTGAACTGTCAGTTTTCTCAATGAAGCTTTATGGATCAAGAAAGCTTGATCCAGAAATTGCAAGTCGTGATTGAGGAAGAGTCTGAATCCCCTTTAATAGGTCTTACGCTTATACACCTAGTGGTAAGTTCTTGTATTGATGAATTCAGGACTTTCTTAAAGTAGATCATGACTCAACACCGGTTTTCCCACTATAAACAGTTCAACAACAACCACCTAAGTGTCACCGCATTCATTAAAATCTTATTTAACTACATTTTCAGATAATGAAGCTAATAAAAGCAATATAATAAGGAAATCCTAATGAAAGTCATAAATAAACTCGTTCCAAGAAACCGTTCTTAAACGGACAAACTGTCAAAATGATAAATTTCTCTTCACAAGCGTGTGTGATGAAAAAATGCCGCATAATTCAAGATTCATAAAAAAATAATATTGTTAAGATGAGAAATAATAACAATCGGAAATAAAAAGAAGAACGTTAACAGCAACAACAATACTATCCAAAAAAAAAGGAGAAGCATAACGAGACTCATGAAATTTCATGTTTGATGTTGTTAATTTGAAGATTGACGCATACCGAAGAATGCACACGGTTAACAACAATTGCATTGAAAATTGCAATATAGATGCTCATAAAAAATAATATAAAAAGGAAGGGAAGAACTTGCTTATATATGATGATATATGCTTACAAATATCTTCACCACTCTTTTGAATCAACGAGAATTTATTTTTTTATTTGTTACCAAAAACAGAGCAGAGTGAAAGAGAGTGCAGCGGACTGTTCATGACAAGAATAAGAAAGAAAACTGGATAATAATAGTAATTTCCAAATTTCGCCTTTTTGTTGCCAATTTTTCATTTTCGAACATTCTTATTATTGTTATTATTATTCATGTTTGGATGTGTGTGCATGTTAGCAAGAATAAAAAAAAGATAAGCGGTTAAAAAGCAAAAATATGATTTCTTCTCTCATGTGTGTGCATACATATTTTTCTTGTTTTTCTGCTGCTTCTGCTCCTCATCATCATTCCTCTGCACATGCATGCTTTTAGACCTCTCATAAGCAATAAGGAAAAAGAGCATAAAAATAAAAAAACAAACACATCATAAAAATATGCGGTATATACTGCTCTTATGCGGGGACTCTTCTTATTCTTTTGTATTTTTTTTTTTTTTTGGTGCACAGTACTCATATAGTATTGTATATTGGAAGTTATAAGAACAAAGCGGTCGTTCATCGCTAAAGTATAAATAAAAAAATATTCTTCTTTTTAAAAGTATCAACACGATCATGATATTGCTTTTCATTTCTCATGAATGTCCATTTGAAGAAGGAAAAAACACATTTATATATAAATTGATGATTGGAAATGAGAAAATTTTTAATTGGAAGCGATGGTAGAAAAATGTTAAGTTATAATAACGACAATAATGAATGGTGAAGAATAGTGCCTTCATGGAATGTTGTCATAAAGTAATTCTTTTCGTTGGCATTCTTGGGGAGTTGTTATCAAATGATGTATGTCAGAAAATTGGGGTTTGACGCTCCTTGTTACTCCTTATTGTAATTTAAGGTTTAAGATTTAAAGTTATATGTAGACTTTTTTGCAGTGCAACAATAAGGATTCACTTGGCGACAGGTTAAGTAAAAGACTCGAAATCTATAAAATTCCTCTGTGGGGGCGTGGGTTCGATTCTCAACAACTGCCGATTCTTAAATTCAATGCACAGCTTCAAATATCTCCTACAACTTGTAACAAATATTTTCATGTTCTAAAATACAGTTTCAAATCCCAACAATCCTTTCTGTACATCAAACATCATAGAAAGATGATCCCCAATCCGTGATAAAAAGAAGACTATCAATCATAAATGCTAAAGTCTCAAGGAGAGTCATTTGATACACAACAACTAAAAGTTATTTATTAAACGAAAGCTAATCTACGTCCTCAATGTCAACTAGAAAATATTTATCAGTCTAAATCACGCTATTAAAAATAAAGTAGTAAAAAAGCGTCGTAAAATATGAAACTTCACAATATTTTGAACTTTTAAGTTATTTCACTTTCAGCAATAAAATAATAAAGAGATTCGCATAAAATTTTGGAATAAAATTTAAATTTTAATGAAAAGTTTTTTATAATTTTATGAATTTTGCAGAGAAACAAGTCTCGTTAGCGAAAATTCAATTTATATTAATGAATATAAAAAAAAAACTTCATTATGTAAGTATCTTTTAGAAAAACACCGAGCTTTTTTTTAATCTTAAAAATCTTGCTGCATGATTAAGAGAAAATTTAATTTAACGTTAAAAGAAGAAAAAAAAAAGTTTTTTTTCAGCTTGCAGCACAGCGAAAAGGTGAACATTTTTTATAGTCGCACATTAGTTTAGTACGTTGCACATAGCAATGCTGAGTAATAATAAAATCAGCAACGGTTTTATGTCATTAAACATACACATAAGTTGATTCCAAGTGAGAAGACGTAAAGGAGAAAGAAGAAAAAGATTTTTAGCTGAAACTAAAATAACCTCTGACCTACGATTGGTCATCTTACAAGAAATAGTAGTATTACAAGCATATCAAAATGAAGAATATGCTGCATGAGAGATGAGAATTTTAATAAGCAACGAAGACTCCACAAGCTTCTGATAAAGTTCATCAACCATCAACAACTTGCCTTGTTTCTTCTCGCGAAATATTCAGCATAATAATATACGCTAACAGAAGACGAACTTAGTTGCAATCAATTATTTTTTTTTCAAACCAAAAGGAAGATACTTTTTATACGGAACTTTGATGAAATCGTCCGATGTAGCTTGTGAATATTTATGAGAGCATTCTGGCGTCTACATACATTGTTGATTTCCCAAAAAAATAACAAAAAACCTAAACCAAACAATTTTTTATTTAATTTAAATTAATCACTTAGCAGTTAAACGAGTTTCCACTCCCTATCCAAAAAGAATTGCAATTCTTGTTCTGCACGTCGTTAAGAATAAAAGACGCAGAAAGCCAAAAACAATTTAGTGGCTACATAAATTTTCATAACGAAAACGAAACGGGCAGAAAAAGAGGGAGAGAAAAATTGATAAACGGAATCCAATACACTAATCATCAAGACCATCCAAAATTGCCTTTCGAGAAAATAAATAAAAAATGATAACAAGGCACACATAAGAAGAGAATCAAGCAACAACAAAAGAAGCAATGAGAGGAAATTAAATTTTTCTTTTCTTTCCATTCCATGTATGAATAAGAATAATATATATAAATAAAAAATAGGGATGCAGCAATGGGAAGGAAAGAAGGAAGAAAGAGCACATATGCGAAATGGTTATGCAATTTCATAAGTTCACTTCGAGTAAGAGAATGTCTTCGAGGCATTTTAAAAGCCAATTTTTGCAGAAGAATAAGAAGATGGTTAAAGTGAGAAGATAAAGAATCATTTTCATGAGAGGGGTCAGTTAAGTAGTAACGTCAAGAGCTGTAAAGCCCATTTGATGTAGACTACGCTTCATAAGAGTTTGTCCAGAGCAAAACTATTACTATGGACTTTATCATATTCTAAGATTCCCTTAAGTCCTCTTCAGAGGTAGCCCTAGGCATTGCCCTAGTGATATATCAAGCAACAAGTGCTGCAAGTGATACAAAAGCTCCTCCATAGCCATCATTCCCAAACAACTCTCCAAAAAAATAATGCTGTAGATCTTCGACATTGAAATTATTTTCAATTTTGATGATTTATGCTGAATTTGTGCTATAGTGAGTAAGCAAGTGAGAAAAGAATTTTTCAAGCTCGATTTTTTTATGAGCTTTACGTTTTCATTTTATTGTCTTTTAAACAATTATACACAAGCGGTCAGTAAGAAATAAAATCATTAGCACTTTAATTATGCAATAAAAAAATGCAACTTGAATTTTTAAACTCTTTATAATTTATTTTTTTTTGTGGAATTGAAATTTATTTGTTCATGATGTTTTTTTGTGTCCGAAAAAATGAATGAGTGATGAAAAATCACCAAACAATTAAAATGTTTCCTCTCTGCTCTCCTACAAACAGGACTTGTTAATTGCTTTTTATGAGCTATTAAAAAGAATTTCACAAAACATTATTTTTTTAACGTTTGAATACATTATCCAGTCATTTACCGGGAATTTTATGATCAACTTTTCCACAGGATTTTTAAAATAAATTGTTTTCACAAAAATGTTAACACAATTTAAAGAGATATAGTGACATACTTAAAGGTTCGTTTACATATGATAATTCCATTTTAAATGCACATCACTTACAAACGACCCAGCCAATTGTTTCTTAAAAGGAATTCCCAATAACCAAAGATAATGAAAGGATTGGACACTCTTCAATGAGATTAAATGAGCTGATAACACTACAGAAAGCAATTATCACCATGGTCTTAAACGTTTCAGATCCATATGTTAGACATTAAATATATAAACAATACTCATTAGCTTCTGGGTGGCTTCTAAAGTGTCCACGACTTAGAGATTATTAAAATTCCTACTTATTTCCGAAAATATTCAATATCTTAAATATTTGACATATTAAAATTAAAATTCTAATTTTATTTGCAACTGTTAATATATTTAAATGCAAATATTCTTCGTTTATTTCATCTATTTTATCCCCTCACAACATGTCTCGAGTATATTAAAAATTCATTCATTCTTTATATTCTTCTTCATACGAGAAACATTTATAAACTCTTCTGCATTGTATCGTATCTCCTTCTCATTTCATTTCTTTCTGCGAGAGTTAATTTGAAATTAATAAAATAAAAAAAAAGAAAGAAAAACTTTCAACAAGCAGATCAAGAAAGACCTCTTCATTTTTATGAGAGTTTCATGAGAAATATATTCTTTTTTTTTTCATCTACTGGAGAAATTCCTTGCTCTGCTTTATATTTTTCAGATACATTTCTCTGTTGTTGTTTTAAAGGCACAAGAAATTGTAATAAAAAAAACTTTTTTCGTCTTCTCTCTCTTTTTTTCCTTTATTTTAATGGTTTTTCGTATGAAAATGTTGAAATATACATTATTATTGTCGGCAGCATGTACGTACATATAGACTCATTTCTTGGCATAAGCCCGAAAAAACAGAACAGCAAAACTCAGAATCAGAATAACATCAACAAAACGAACGTTGCATTAAAAAGTGAAGAAAGGAAATTAAATTGGAATGTATATGTATAAAAATGTGCAAAAGCCAAATGAATTGCGCTCTCATCTTATACTCAAAACAACACTTCGCGTAGAGATGAGAGGCGCGCGGTTGAAAAAAAGATGGAGCAAGTGCGATCAACACCTATAAATTTTGTAATATCTTTAAGCAATCTTACTTATTTTTATTTCTTTCGTCGTTTTTGAGGTAGGAAAAAAAATTGCAAAGGAGAGAAAAAGTGTTAATTTACTTTATCAGAATCTACAATCTTTGGAATCTCTACGACAAGGTAACTCATCCATTGCATATGTATATCTGTTGGAATTTCATTTAAAAAGTTGTTTTAAAATTCAAATCATATCAGGTGATTTTGGAATTTAAATTATTGGGTTTTAGCAGGTTTTAGTTAAAATATATTAAATTATTCAGTGGTAAGATTGCTTATTGTGATTAAGCATGAAGATAGTAATTTCTTGAAAAGAGTCTTCGAATCCAGAGTTGGCAACAAATCTAAGGAAGTTTACAAGCAAGCATTTAACTGCTTTCAAATCATTTCTGATTCCTCCAATCATCCGATTCGATTCCAATTCTTCAACCCCTCGAATTTTTTTAAGCACCTTCTTCTGAATATATTGATAATTAATTGGATAGTTTTAAGTGGTAAGAAATGGATAAAAAAAGAATATTTTTCTTTCATTTGTGAAAGCATATGTACGACGATAGCACTATAATTATAGTATCATTCCCTTCTTTTTTTTCATATCAACATTTTTTTACACTCATTTCTTTTTTGCGACCGCGAGTTTCCGTTCCATCGACACACAATAAATAAATTGGCTTGAGTACTTTTTCATATATATTATATATGAACATATCTGTATCATGTGCGTGCAAAATTTGTTCCAGTTGGAAATTAAATTGTTAAAAACAAAGCTGCAATAAATGTACAACGTATGTATTCCAGTTTTTTTTATTTTTGCACAGTTGAAGCATAAAAAGAAAAAAAAAATAAATTTAAAAAAGTAGAAAAATACGTAAGTTTTCCCCATGAGCACTAAACCTCAAAAAATATATTAAAGTCACAAATTAAGGCTATTTAATAATCAAGTTATTATGTGTCTCTTTATAAATTGAGTTGTACTAATTTTAGTAGTTTGTTGAGCAAAAAAGTTGCACGATTCAATTACTGCAGATGTCGGTGGATATTTCCGTTTCAGAATTAATAAAAATTCAGTTCAAGAAAAATTTTGACACAAAAATTATTACAAAAGTGATGTTGATGCAAAGTGGAATGTACGCAAATCTGTGAGTGCTAGAGTAAGCCTCTGTGGACGAGTGGTAAGACAACACTCTGGAAATTTATATTTCTATTTTGTGAGGACGTAGGATTGATTCCCAACAGAGACCAATCTCTCAATTATTGCTTAGTGTTGTCGGCGTGACATTCTTACAAAATAAACAATAAAGATCTCAAGCAAGATTTAATTATCTCTAATGCACTTAACACAGACAGAACTAATCACCAAATCCCAGAAAACTTTTTCCTTATTACTTCACATCCTCACTTGCATCAAGGAATCTCTCATCTTAGCATTTTTCCCACATGCGAACAATTTTTCACTCATTCAACCAAACATTTGAGGTTAGAGTAAAGAAGAAAAAGTTTTCTAATCTTATCCAAGATTCATTTCACTCATGGGAAATCAACTTTCAAGACGAAAATGAAAATTCGTTGTTTGTCTATTTTCTAGATACACAGACTGACGCTGGAGAGAGAATAAAGAAGGAAAAAAAGAAACTTTTGAGACTTCTTTAAATCTTGTCGAAGTAAAAATGTGTTCATCTCCTTATAGAGAATTTAATTACTTAAAACTGCAAACCATTATGGTGAATCACCTACGAATTTAATTTATTTATTTCTCTTTCAAACATAAACAATGCTTCTATTGTGTCTTTTTAACTCAAGTTAGCTGTTCCGGACTTCTATAGATGAAATAAAGAAACACACACATTTTTTCATTACGAAATTGATACACGAGCATAGAGCTCCAAGCAGGCAGGGATATGGATGTAATCAGAGTGGGATAAGGGTATTTTGGGCGTCTTCTTATTTGTAATTTGTAATGAAACACTTAAAAAACTTGCAAAAATTAAATTATGCTCTCCATCGGACTGCCATACTCGAAAACGCTCTAACTCCGTTCCTGCTCAGAGAACCAAGCAATAATAAAGCGAGGAAAAAAGCCGAGGAAAATTTAATGTGTGCGAGAATAAAAAAAAAGCAAATAATCAATTTTGGAATTTCTTTTCATTCAATATATCGCAAAGTACAAGCACAACGCAACAACATCATCGTTCGTGAAAGAAAGAATCATTCTTTTTTACATATATGTTATTTTATAAGAATAACGACGAGATACGCTAAAGCGATGTTTTTATAATAAAAAAGAAGACATCATTTATTTTTTTTATTTTATTCATTCTCTCTTCAATTGTGAACTGCCCGTCTGAGGTAACTTCTTTTGAGAAAAAAAAATTCAGGAAGATCGAGAGCGCGAGCTAAATATAAGAAAAAAAAAAGATTTTTTCTTTTCATCGCCAGAAAAAAATAAAAGAACAAAAAAAAATCATCAATAATTTCCTTACTTCTGCTTGCCAAAAAAAAATATCTTATTCCAATTTTTTTATTGTTTCCAAAAACCCAATATTGAGTGAAAAAAATTGTTAAAAGAAAATAAAGAACCAAATTTGCTTTCATAAAATTCAAAGCATTACATTTAAATTTACTTTTTTCGTGAGACAAAGGATGGATATCTTCATGAGGGCTTTTGATATTTTTTTCGGAAGATGGTTTGGATTTTCGGATTGATGCAGTGAAGTAGCAAGAAAATGACGATTATGGTTCATAGAGCCGACATAATTTATGCATAATTTTTTGCAAAAAACTTGCATAAATTCTGCATAATTATGCATAAATTTTGCATAAAATTCTGCATAAAAAATGCGTAATATTCTGCACAAATTTATGCATAATTTCGGCATAAATTATGTATAAATTCTGCAAAATTTGTGCATAAAGTTCTGCATAAATTTATGCATAAAATTATTCATAAATTATGCATAAAATTCGGCGATTTTTTTTACAAAATTTTGTTTCATAATTTTTTGCATAAATTTATGCAAAACTTTATGCACAAATTTTGCAGAAATTGTGCATAAAATAAATTATGCATAAAATTAGGCAAAGTTTATGCATAAATTCTGCTTACATTTATCAAATAAAAATACAAATAATTATAGACGAATTTCGAAAAATTGGAAAGATAAACTTTAAACCTAAAATTCACATGAGTTTTCAATCTACTAAGGTATTTTTAATATTAGTTAAGATTGTATAGATCTAATTTCACAAAATACGCAAAAATTAATAGTTTAGATACAAAAAAGTTTATGGTCATTAACTTGGCAATTCCTGAAGTTAAACTAGTGTATCGGGTAGAAAACCAATGCGGATATATTCACATTGTACCATCAAAACTTTTTTGGAAAGACCAAGCTTAGCTCAATATTAATTTGAAAGTATAAAGCTTGTGAGTCAGCTGAGCTTCGCTCAGCATAAGTTTGAAGGTATAAAGCTAACAAGTCAGCTGAGCTTCTTGAAGGTTTGAACATTTAAAGCTTAACGAACATTCTTTAAAAATTTTTTAAATTTTTTATATTCACACCGTTTTCACGTGTGAATCTATTGGTTTTGTTCAGATTGAAAAATCAGTTATTCGCATTTTGTGAGAAAACATAGCAAAATTGGTTATAAAAGGGCAAGAAGAAAAGTTTGTGCCTAAAATTTTACATCATTTTCAAAAAACAGATTCTAAATTGGTCGTGGCATTGCTGAGAAAATCGCAAAATACGCTTTCTGTAAGCAAACAAGCAAGCAAGCAAGCAAGTTAATCAGCAAGAAATCTCAATAACGAGACATCGTAGAGACTTCTAGTTTTTTACATTTGATCCGTGCTGCTCTATAGAAGAGCTGTATTGTTTTTGGGCAAGGTAGGAACAGCCGTTGCTTCAGAAAATGCAAGAAACTTTCCTTTCTTACGAATTTTTCAAAACAAAAGTTCACTATGATTTTTTGCTATGAACTTGCTTGTTTGCTTGTTCGCTTGCTTACAGAAAGCATATTTTGCGATTTTCTCAGCAATGCCACAACCAATTTAGAATCTGTTTTTTGCAAATGATGTAAAATTTCAGGCACAAACTTGTCTTTCTGGACCTTTTATAACCAACTTTGCTTCGTTTTCTCACAAAATCCGTAAAACTGATTTTTCAATCTGAACAAAACCAATCGATTCACACGTAAAAACGGTGTGAATATAAAAAAAAATTAAAATATCAGGTCTAACGCGTCAAGCTTTAAACCTTTAAACATACACTGATCAAAGCTTGGTCTTTTGACAAGACTTTCGTTTGTATGGTGTACGCCTTGAGTTTCATTTTTCAATTAATTGTATTTTTGCCCAGAGGTTGACACGTTTTCATCTTGATGAAAAATTTCTTCATCCTATTGTTAAGATGAAATTTTTGTATGAAAAGATAAAAAAAAAAACGTTAAAAAAAACTTTTTAAAAAACACGCTTTTATCAAAAAGACTAAAAACCAAAAAGTTGAAAATAAAATAAGATCACACTTTTAGCGAATCAGGATTTTAAAATTTTCTTGTGATAACTAGAAATGTAACATAAATTTTTTCAAAATATTGTGATTAAGTCCAAGAACACAATGACTCTAAAAGCGTGGGGCTTTGAGACTTGACGTTCTCTTACTTAAGAACATAGCTGAACTAAGAAATTATCCTTAAATTACGCCCCACGCTTTTAGAGTCATTGTGTTCTTGGACTTAATCACAATATTTTGAAAAAATTTATGTTACATTTCTAGTTATCACAAGAAAATTTTAAAATCCTGATTCGCTAAAAGTGTGATCTTATTTTATTTTCAACTTTTTGGTTTTTAGTCTTTTTGATAAAAGCGTGTTTTTTAAAAAGTTTTTTTTAACGTTTTTTTATTTGCTACCTTTTAGTCTCAATCTTTTAATCGAATTTCGACCACAACAATTCAAATTCAACTCCACTTCGTTTTACTCCGTTTCGTTCAACTGTTTATAGATTACAGTAGGTTTAAAGGTTACAGGTGTGTTGAACTTCACTTCGTTGCACTTCGTTACGTTCAACTGTTTATAGATTACAGTAGGTTTATAGGTTACAGGTGTGTTGAACTTCACTTCGTTGCACTTCGTTACGTTCAACTGTTTATAGATTACAGTAGGTTTATAGGTTACAGGTGTGTTGAACTTCACTTCGTTGCACTTCGTTACGTTCAACTGTTTAAAGATTACAGTGGGTTTATAGGTTACAGGTGTGTTGAACTCCACTTCGTTGCACTTCGTTACGTTCAACTGTTTATAGATTACAGTAGGTTTATAGGTTACAGGTGTGTTGAACTTCACTTCGTTGCACTTCGTTACGTTCAACTGTTTAAAGATTACAGTGGGTTTATAGGTTACAGGTGTGTTGAACTCCACTTCGTTGCACTTCGTTACGTTCAACTGTTTATAGATTACAGTAGGTTCATAGGTTACTGGTGTGTTGAACTCCACTTCGTTGCACTTCGTTACGTTCAACTGTTTATAGATTACAGTAGGTTCATAGGTTACTGGTGTGTTGAACTCCACTTCGTTTCACTCCGTTACGTTCAACTGTTTATAAATTACCAGTTTTCAATGGGAAATTAGTAACGACTTTCAAAATTTTTCATTCGTTTTATAAAATTTAATTTTTTTAAAGCATTCATTAGTAAAGTACATTAAAAATAGGGTGACCATCTGCGTAGTTTTTCAACGGACAGTCCCGTATTTTTCAAGACTGTCCTGTATAAATTTTTAAATTTTGTTCTTGGTCCTGTATTTTTTTCATGAAAATTTCCGTTAATTTTCGAATTTTACTCTATGTCCTGTTTTTTTCGAAAAAATTTACCAAATGTCCTGTATTTTCATGAAAATTAGATGGTAACCCTAATTAAAAATCACTCGTAAAGATTTTGTGTTTATCCGAACCATTCCTACTACATAACGTGTGGATTCTTAACATAAAGATGCAAATCAAATCTATATGTAACGTATTTATAACGGATTTTCAAATTTAAATTCAATGAATATCATTCATATGTTATGCAAAAATACGTCAAGCCGTTAATAAAAAGAAAAGTCAATTTAATTAAGTTGGTGAAGTGTTATAAATAATGCAATACATTTAAAACAGCATAAATTATGCTCAAACTATGTGTGGTAAATGCACATCGCATATTAATAGTTATTTTGCATTAATTCGTGACGGACTAAAGCTTAACGGTTTTTTTGAAAATTCAAATTTTCACTTACGAATATTCATGAAAAAATTACATGTCAATTTTTTTGTCTTACCAGAATATCTTTAGCTGCTCAAATTTATGGTATAATTAATAATTAGTAATATTAATTAAACTATAATGAATCATATAAATGACTTTAGAGCATCACAAGCATAATATTTAATACAAATCAAAATTTTATATCATTGACATTGGATTTTTTCCCATATAAAAAAGTTTTACATAAATTGTACTATAATTAAGCATTTTTGTGTTTCCAAAGTCTTAAAATATTGTATTGTCACCGGGAACACGTGTGCATAAAAAATTTGAGCTCGATTGAAGAAGTAGAAGTGGTCGAAAAATCGATTGCAAGATTTGAACGTGACAAAGAAACCAACAGACAGAGCAACTCAATAAAAAGCGTGTAAAAAGATGAAGAAAGATGAAAAATGATGAATTTTTTTGTATGAAAAGATGAAAATGATGAAAAGATGAAATCGTGTCAACCCCTGGATTTTTACCAATGCTCGAAGTCGACTCGAGATTTTCATCGATCGACCATACAAAATTTCATCGACTTCGAGCTCTGATTTTTAATTCATTTATTGACGACATTTACTGTCCGGTAATAATTCACATTTTACACTTTTGTGTTTGTTTACATACGAATTAATATTATGTAGGATCAAGCTTACAATCTTCAAATCTAGGTTTCAAATAAACTGAGGCTGTCGTTTCGATCTTCTCTTGGCGTGGCGTGATACTTTTCAGGTCCGTTCTAACAATATTCCATTCGTGGGTAATCTTGTAGCTCTCGTTCCTATTTCTCCCGCTACACTTCAAGTTCCTCATCCGTTCCTAATCTAACGTTGCCCAAATGCACAATTATGGCTTGATCTCCTACATTAAGCAGTCGAAGTATCTAAACGTTCAAAAAATAACAAATTTGGAAATGGCTGGATTTGAACCGAAAATCTTAGAATTATCTTAATGAATTCGAGCCAGTCGCCCTACCTATTTGATCCCTTACCTTTCTGCTCTGAAGATCTATACAATCTTAACTAATATTAAAAATACCTTAGTAGATTGAAAACTCATGTGAATTTTAGGTTTAAAGTTTATCTTTCCAATTTTTCGAAATTCGTCTATAATTATTTGTATTTTTATTTGATAAATGTAAGCAGAATTTATGCATAAACTTTGCCTAATTTTATGCATAATTTATTTTATGCACAATTTCTGCAAAATTTGTGCATAAAGTTTTGCATAAATTTATGCAAAAAATTATGAAACAAAATTTTGTAAAAAAAATCGCCGAATTTTATGCATAATTTATGAATAATTTTATGCATAAATTTATGCAGAACTTTATGCACAAATTTTGCAGAATTTATACATAATTTATGCCGAAATTATGCATAAATTTGTGCAGAATATTACGCATTTTTTATGCAGAATTTTATGCAAAATTTATGCATAATTATGCAGAATTTATGCAAGTTTTTTGCAAAAAATTATGCATAAATTATGTCGGCTCTATGAACAATTACCGTTATTGTTTACCGGGAATTCTGTTGCGAGGTACGAAATTATTTCAAGAAAAGATTTGAAAATTTTGAAAAAAAGATCAATAAAATTTTAAGAATTTCTAGAAACTTATAAAATTTCACTTTTAAACGATCATAACGGAAACATTAAGTTCAGAAAAATTCAATTTAGAATCATTTCAAAAACTATCAACTCCACACAAATAAAACTTTTCATCACCAAATCCCACCTGAATATTCTGACAACGCTATAATTTAATCACATTGTGTTGAAAATTGCTCTGCATATCTCCAGAAATTTCGACAAAAAATTGTGTATAGCATAAGTGAGAATGCATTTTTATCATGACACATTAAACGAGATTTATTCATTCAAACATAATAATTCCCTTAAAAGTTCTTTGAAAAATTTAAGTATCTTCTCTTTAATAAAATGCCATGCTGTTATTTGCACTTAAAAAACAAATTGTATGTCATCATTGTGAAAACGAATTTAAAAAGATTTTTCTTTTTCGTGAATAATTCCACAGTTTTATCATTTTTATGCCTTTATGCATACATAATATATTTATTTTTTTGAAGAAAAAAAACTATTTTAATGTGAATATATAGATATTGGAAATCGTGACATATCAATCGGTATTGAACCATGCTGATTCAGAGATTTTTAATAAAGATGTTGATCAAAAATAAATAAAGTTGAGGCAAATAAATTTAATTTTCACTTCTCATAAAATATGTGAACATTTAAAATTCTAAGAGTTATGAAAATTAAAGAAAGAAAGAAATGAAAGATTATAAGATGAAATCGAGAGATTATGACAACCGTGATTCTAAATTCCAAAAAAATAGTTACACTCGAGAGCAGATTCATTTGCATAAAATAGAAATTTATTGACAGAATTCATAAATACGAAAGGAAAGGGGGAATGAAAAATTAACAAACGTCCACAAAAAAAATTATTTATTTTATCTAATGTCTCAATTTATTTAATTCGAGTTTTATTACATCGCTTTCATCGACCATATCTCACTATAGCACTGAACGTGGAGAAACGTTGAAAAAATCTCTGGACCCATTACGTTGCATGAAAAATATTTTATCACACCAGGGAATAATTCATTCACATATTCTTGGCTTTCAATTTATCAGCACACCAGTGAGATGGGAAGGAGACACCAAAAATTAGAGAAATCTTTTATAAACAAGCTTAAAGGGTTGATTGTAAATGATGTCTGTCTTGAATTGATTTTTTTTATTTTTGTAATTTTTATGCAGTGTTATTTCTGGCATCAAGAAGTCTCATAAACTTTAGAGCTACTTCACCTTTCAATGATCAAGACGGATACATAATGTGGAAGGTGGTCAACTCAGGAATCTGCTACTTTTGCTGTTGATTTGTTGAAAATAAAACATCACTCCCCCCCCATTTTTAACATACAGAAAACAATTTAGAACCCACTCATCCAATCTGAACAATTTCTGACCAAACCACTGTATGAAGACGTCACTAATGAACAGCACCCAGCAGTTTGTTGTGTCACTTCACCCAATTCATCTATTCAAGAAATGAAAATGAAGAAATTTTAAACAAGACACCAACATGAAAATAGGGCGTGAATTCCACAATAACATCAACAGTCACAATTCTTTTGTTTTTCCTCTTCTTTTCTCAAACAAGTTAAGACAAAACAAAAAAAAAATATTAAAAGAGAACAAAAAAAATTTACAACAGCAAAAAAATAAAATGAACAAGATGATAAATCAACGAGCTAGTTTAAAAATTTGAGAAAGAAATTTATAATCTTTTACTTTTTCGAGTATGACTTTACATCGAAATAGATACTTTTCTATTATTTGTTAAGGCTATTGCTCTTTCTATCACTTTGCATTATGATTAAAATACGTGAAACTTTTTCTCAGTCTTTTCTTTGCAACACTTTACAAATTACTGACCTCTGAAATAATCTAGTTATTTCGCATTTATCTGACGATGAAAGTATTTTTTTTTTTGGTTTTTAAAAAGCATAACTTTGAATGCCATAATTTTCATTCATTCTCCAATTCTTTCTCGTCTTTTTAGAAAATCAACAATTCCTCTATAATTATGTCGTAATATTAGACAACTATAAAGTGTATAATAATAAAATAAGCAACGTTCTTACATCACTCAACAATAATATAATGGAATTTTATGAAGGATTGAAACCATAGGCAATCTTAATCGTGAAATAATTAGACTAGAGTCTGTGTCATTTACCATTTGAGGCTTGATGGGTCACTTCTTGTAAGTTTGATTAGAAAAACTGAATGATTAATCAATCTAGTAATAATTCTTAGATCATAAGGTCAGCATTGCAAGTTTTATGTATCAGAACCGTAGGCAACTTAGGAGACGAGCTCTTTTAGATGAAAGTATCTTAATACACCAGACTGTTGATCATAATTCGGCCATATTAGGTCTAAAGTTAAGAGTAAGAACATCAAACCTTATAAACTCGATCAATTTATTGAGCCTTACTTAGACTGAAGCTCGTTAAAGATTCAAGAAACTAAACTCAATCTCTCCACAATTTAAAGATGATCAATAGTAACCCAGAAAATCCACCTTTCCAAGAAATCATAAAAATACATTTCAAAGAAAATCATAAAACCAACAAAAAAACTAACAAAATAAAAATTCTGAATAACATTTTCTGGTACATTTTTAACAAAAAAACCCACTTCAAATGAAAGCATGAAAAATTTTCTCCATTAAAAATTTTCTGCATTATTAATTTTTTACAGAGAAGAAAGAATGTTTGTCTATAATTTTTAATGCATTCTTCACATTTTTGTCGGTTAATAAGTAAGAGAAGCTAACAAAATGGCCCGCAATTAAATCCACAACTAAAATAATTTAATGAAAGAATGAGATTGAACATTTTATGACTAAATTAACTTAGTATAAGAGTCAGGTACAGTGAATTGAATAAAAAAAAATAATTAAATTAATCTAATGAATACTCAATGTCCTTTTCCGCATTCATTCGATTTAAAGCAGCACTAAACGCTAAGACAAACGGCCTGTTTCACTAAAGTGGATTATCCTCGATTTCGGATTATCCACTTCAGTTTTTTGGAAATATCGCCAGACGCTTAAGGTTATTAAGAGATGTAATGTGTGATCTAGCAAGAGTACTTTGCTACTTAAATCAACATATACTTAGAATTTTTATATCTTCACTAGTTTGAGAATTATAGCAAAAATTGAAGTTAATCTACTAGATTTGGCTAGAAAATTGAATAATTGATAGTTCTTAACGAAAAGTAAAAGTTTAAAGTGTACAGAAATTTCAGGCATAGCTCACTCTATTATAATCCAAAATTAGAAATACCACACCTCCCATAAAGTTTAAGATATTTCCAAAAAACTGAAGTGGATAATCCGAAATCGAGGATAATCCACTTTAGTGAAACAGGCCGAAAGACTTTGAACGGTATTTATATTCAAAATGCTGTAACAATAAAAGGGAATGCACGCTTTTTAGAGAGAGAAAAAAATCAAAGCACATACAGATATGGTAGTAGAATTTTTATTGCCATTCTTGGAATAGTGACACACGTGAGAACTTCATAGACAACGACATAAAAGCATAAAGATGAAACCGTAAAATTGTACGCTAATGTGAACATCTTGTGAACAATTAATATATGTAAGAAAGATATCAAAAAAATAAGATAAATAGAATAAAATGGCTATTAATTTAAGCAAACGATGATCATGAACTTAACTGTCCTCTATTTTATAATTGCCTTTTGATCATCGATTTTTATCGCATGTTATGTGCATATTCAAAGAAAAATCTTAAAGATAAAGAAAAAAAAGATGAAAAGAATTGAGCAATTAAAACTAGTTTCTATTTTTTTGTTTGAATGAGATAAACACAAAACAGCATTTGAATATTTATTTAGGCTTTCTTTTGAAAAAAAATGAAATTACTATTATTATTATGGCGCCACACACTAATTCACGGAGAAGAAGAAGAAATTGTCAATTTACACACTATCCCGAGCTGCAGATTCCGGTAAAATTTTCATATTTTTACTCGTCACAGCGTCTTCGTAATATTCTAGTGTCATGATTAAACGTAGCATTGTCACATTATCCAGTATCAGATAAACTAAGCATAGAACACATTCTATACTCAAAGGGTTTACTGAAACTTAAATCAAGTAATCTGGTAACGCTAGAGTCTGTCAATGAATGCTTTGGATTGACCCTTAAGTATTCCAGAGCCACTGACCTCAAGCGACCACAATATGTTTCTCGGGTGAATTCTTCTGACAATAAAATAAAAGAAAATTTTCACGGTGCGAAAAAATAAAAAAAGATGTTTTCATCTTTTTTTTCGCAACAAAGCTTTAAATCAGTCAGTCAAGCAACGCAAATTTTTTAACAATCTCATTTGTTTTCCCTCCCCGTCTTATTGTGTGACAACGAAACGATGTGGAAAGCATTCCATTCTTTACTTATATAAATACATTTTGAGACAAAACTTTGATTACCGTTTAAATTGTCTTTATTATCGTTCTAAAGAAGCATGAGATAAAAGTAACGAGAATGTCCACAGTGAAAGAAAAATTTGCGATTCATAAAATTCAAAAAAAAAAGAAAGAAATTGTGCATATAAAAAATTGCCTCTTTCCTCTCATTGCTCATGGCTTCTTCCATTAATGGAAACCAAGGAAGAGAATAAAAAAATTTAAATAAAATCGTTTTTCGTACAAAAAACATGCAAAATATTGCAAAAAAAAGTCTTCATCTGAATGTAAATTTGTTTATTATTCCATTGAATGTATATGCAGATATCTCTTGTTCGGTTGATTCTTACATTGGGTTATCTTCACGTGGCTAAAATTATGCTAATAATTCCCTGATAACTTTCATTTTAGAAGTTAAAAACAAGCAAGCAAGCCAAAAATGTTAAATAAGGTGTACACAAGATATCTCAGGATTTGTTATTAACTTAACCACCTGATTGTGCATTTATTTATGGTTATTATCAATGTTTTGGCATGTTTCACTTGAATAAAAATTAATAGCATATTCAGGGAATGTCTTAAGAAATGTTTATGAATTAAAATATAATTAAGCAGAAATAGTTTTGTAAACAACAATAGCACACCCGACAGTCCATAAATCATCTCTGGAAGTAAACTCATGCAACTTACCATCAAAAAATTAACATGAAAATACTCTTAAAAGAATACATAACTCAAAAGCATTTTGTAACTTCATGATAAAAATGTACACAAGTATGCAAAACAATGAAGTCAAGTATAAGTTACTTAATAATTCATTTCCTTTTTAAAAAAAGACAAAAAAAAATCAGAAGTAAACGTTGACATGAAAAATCGGTTGCTGCCAAAAAAATATCGCAAATGGAAATTTTTGTATTCTGTTTGTTTTTCGTGTGCAATTACTTTTAACAATCTATGTTTGTCAAGATAATGTCATCAGTTTGTATAAACATTTTGGGTAATAAATTATTTATTTATTTTCAAACAAAGCGATTTTCAAAAATTTTCTAATTGTGAATCTAATTTTTTTGGTATAAAAAGGGCTAGAATTTAGTTCTAATTCAACAGTAATTTGTTTCAACTTATCAAAACCTATTCAAAATGAACAAATTCGTAACTTTCTTTTTCGCAGCTATCGTCTTAGCACAAATCGACTGTTCTAAACTTGGACAATCTCGTATATCAAGTGGATTTACCGCAAATATCTACGACGTTCCATGTTTCACAAGTTTATACATCAATTTTCCATTTTCTGATGTCTATCGAACTTGTGGAGGATGTTTGATCGCCAAAAATAAAGTAGTGACATCAGCTGGCTGCGTTTCGATTCCAGAAGAAGGTTTAACAACGAACATTGCATTTTCATTTGGAACCTTCAAAAATGTTAAACCAAGACTTGGATTCAAAAAAATCAAGGTCCCAACTGGATATGACTACACAAATCTCAAGTCTGGCAGCAATATCGCAGTTATAACATTGAATAATACTGTTACTCTAAACACGCTCGTTCAAACAACAACACCAAGTTCAAATTCAACACTCGATGCATATGTTGGGGAGGATTTGTTTGTTTGTGGTATTGGTGATACTGACAATGATGGAAACAGACCACTAACTCTAAGATGCACTTATTTGACTGTTGTTCCTTCTGCCCAATGTGCGTCAGCATCAGCAGCAGCTACTAGTAAGTTATCGTTTATACATAAGAATTTTAGCTTTTTATTAACAACTATTTTTTTTAAAAATAAAGCTGCAGCAGCCACAACTGTTGGTAGGACCTTTTAAAGATTATTTAATTTTTAAAGATTCTTAATATATTTATCATAATTTTATTTTCTAAAGCTGGAGCTACAACTGCAGGTAAGATTCATTTTATTTATTTTTTTAATATTTTTATGATTTTAATTCGATTTGTTCTAAAAAGCCGGAGCTACAACTGCAGGTAAGACTCTATTTAAATTCTAGTATCATATTTTTTGCCTTAAAATATCAAATTTCATCTTTATTTTCTTAATTTAAAATTCAGCAGCAGAAACTACTGCAGGTAAGACTCTTTCTAAATATTACTTTCATATAAGCAGTGATTAATTTTAGTCTTTTTAATATCTAGCCGCAACAACTGCAGATCCAGCAGCAAGTAAGTATTGTTATTGGATTTAAAATCTAAATCTAATTTTATGTTTTCAAATTTACAGCGACAACAGCGGGTAAGAATTTCGAATTTTTCGATGTTTCAAAACAGAATTAAATTTTTAATTTCTTAAATTAATATGAATAGCTCCAGCAGCAACAACAAGTAAGTTCGGAAGAATTCGAGATTTAATTTCTTATTTTTAATTTTTTAATGTTTGATTTTTGCAGCAGCAGCAGCAGCTACTACAGGTTAGATACAAAAATTCTAGTTCTTTTATCTTTTAAACCTTTAAATATTTTTAAAACTGTTTATAGCTGCCTCACCAACACCACAAATCATCTGCACTCTAAACATCAATGATGCCAATGTCTGTCATGGAGATGAAGGTAAGAACTCAAATTCAGCATTCTTACAAGTGGTTAAATTCTACAATTTTATTCACAGGCTCCCCAGTATTTTCAAATTCAACAGGATCACTCCAATTCGTAGGCGTAGTATCCCACTTCCCTGACGTCAAACCTAATGCACCATGCAAAGACGGCCATATGGTAGCAATCACACAAGTTGGAAGCTTTTCCACATGGATCAACTTATAAACGGAAGTATTAGAATAATTATTTTACTGCGATCATTTCCTTCGAAAAATTTATTACTGTCAACAAATGTAATTAAATTTGACGTTAAGAATTTTGAACAATAAAATATATTGTTCCTTAGCATGCATGAGAATCAACTGTCTTTTTAATTGCCTAAATTAACGTACACAAATTCACTCATTTATAATATTGTACTCGATCTAGACAGTTGCACAAACCATAAACTTATCTTAACGATAATCAATCGAAAATAAACTTTTCAGCACCAATTATAACTCGTGATAAATTACCCATAAGCTTCCTCATTCTCAAAGAGTGACTTAGTTTATGCCATATTAACTGACCCAACTGTTAACCGCATACATTTCAGGAAAAAAAATAATAAATACATGCGAAGGTAAGAATAAGGAATAATAAAAAAATAATTCTCAAGGTAGAAGTGAGACTTTTAGTTCGAAATAGATAGGTAGACAACACATTCATCAAGCAATGAATTTGGAGTGGAATAATAATTCTTCTAAATTAAAATTCTTCGGCAGTTATTTCTTTCCCTCACTGCGACTGGCGTTGATGTGGAAATAAATTGTAAATTTATTCAGGTTTTGTTTTTCTTATAATGAAATTCGTGTGTATATATAAGAAAAAAATGAAATTGTGAAGCATAGAAATTATTGCGTTAATTTCATTTCTCTCACTCAAAGTCCATGAGTCTAAGTTTTAAACGTAATAGGAACAAGAAATCGTTCAGAGCTTGGCACTAACTGTGAAATAAATACGATATCGTGTGAACTTTTTTCTCTACATTTCATTTCCTATTCTAAGCAATGGCATAAGTTTAATTGAACAGAATTGTAATATGTCGGCAATACTAATCGTATGAAAAGAAGACCTTATGTCAGCTGGACTTCTAAATGCGTTAAGTCTCTGTCTTTCTTCAACTTTGTTCGTCATCGTCGGTCAACCAGAATACTCACAAGTTGTTGTAAAATGTTGAGGATTATTGTTGTTATGGTTGAGTAATTATATCGCTTAAAGATATGCGCACAGTTAATTACAAACATTGCATTCTCCACTGATTTATATTACTTTATTATTATTATTTTTTCGCGTATAAAATAACTTTTTCCTCAAGTGTCGCTTTGTTTATACATGCTTTTTTGGACGATAATTATTGCTCATTACCACATTAGATTACATGAACTCTTTAGCTTATTTGAACTCATGGGAAAATGCATTTATGTCAGAGATTTGACAGTCTGTCTGTTTGTACGGCTGTTCTTCCATCGACAGATGGAATTAATTTGGCTTCAACTTAATCAGGGTTTAGGAGCGACCAAAAACTTAATTATTTGACGAAAGTAATTTATGAACATAGAGTCGTAAAGTAGTAAACTCTAAAAAGGCGCCAAATGTCACTCAAACTCACAGAACATCTCAACAACTTGTTTTATAATTTAATTTATTTTGAAGTTGAGCTATTTGACATAATTTCGGCATAAATTTTCCGTCTTGTTTAATAAATATTCTCTTATTCACAGACGCACAATAAAAGTCAGAATTTGTTGATGTCTACAAACTAATTTGAATCTTATTACATCAAGAGATAGAAAAAATGAAGTAGTTAGACACTTTAAAGCTTAAAAAATAATCTTAAAGACAATGTCAGATATTTTAATTGACACTTTAAAAAGCCATTAAATAGTCATCATCATCATCTTCATATAAGCATAGCTAGAGAGACGTAGAAAACAAGAATTGATAAAAGGATATGTAAATTTATTTAACAAAGAAATAGAAAAAAATATATATATTTAAGATTCTCATGAAAGCATTATAGTTCTTCTGTCTGAAGCACTTTGCGACGAAAAAGGAATAAAATTTGATTTTAAAAGCAAATAGAAGAAGTCGAGAAGACACAAGGATAGACAGGCGATACAACAAGAAATATGAGAAAAAGAAATGCAAACAAGAAATTCTTAAGTTTCATGTTTTACATATTTCTCAACCAATTCTAAGACTCTTGTGCTTCTTCATTCTAAAGAGAGCATCAGAAGTGTGTATACGTCTACAAATATTTGCGATACTTTCTTTCTAGTTTTGTCTAAAATGCAATAAAAATTGAAAATGTTCTGCAAAAAAAACTTCAATATTTGTTCGTCTTAAAAGTTCCATGACTTGAAGAAAATCTACACAAAAAAAATAAAGAAAAAGTAGACAGTAGGAAAAGCAAGCAACAATAATAGTATAAAAATATTGAACGATGATGACTGCAAGTGCATAAAAACATAGGAAAACGCCAAGACAACAAACATACATGCAACCTGATCCAGACAAAAATCTTGTTCTTTCTTTAACATTTTATATTTTTATATATATTTTTTTCTCATTTTTTCCCTATTCCAATTCAGCATCATGTGCATTACACATAAAGTGTTGGAGATGTCAAAAGGTTATTAACGAATAAATAAAAAATGCAGTACAGAATGAAGATGTATGTACGTGTTGTGTTGCATAAGAAATAAACTATCATAAAGCAATTTATCTAAATGAAAATTCCTGCATATATGAGGCAAGAAATTGTTGTTTGGATTTATTGCGAGACTTGACGAAAATTGTATTTGGGAGATCAGTGTTGTTGGTTGAGGAAGGGGCTTGATATTCAGATTCTAGTGATCTGTTGATTCACAGTTACAGTTTGATGATTTTTTATTGATGTGCAGTATCAAAAATAAATTAGACCCTTCACTTCCCCTTAAAACTACAACTGTAAAGTTTTTTGTCATCCATCAGACTATATACCTGGATTGTTCTGAATGTTGTTCACAAAACAGTTTGACTTAATTACGAAATATTGATTCTGCTTTTACCCAAGCATCCAAATTAGCAACTCTGTAATCACAATAGTGATAATTTCATTCAATGCAAAATCATCAAAACATCACAATCAATTTATACACCGAAATAGTCTTCCCCTGCCACATCCAATAATTAAAAGCATCACAGAAGATCATGATTTAAATTTATAACATTTTTCTCATTTATGTTGAACATTTCAAATAACAGTAATTTAAAAAGTGATAACTTTTTATATGGTATGCAACGTGAAATTATTCTACATTTAATTTTACATCTCATCGCATAACTCCGAAAAAAAGACTGCAAAAATTAATTTTTAACAGCATGTTATTTTGCAACAAGAAAAATTAATTAAATTAAACGTTTTTTCGATTAAAAGAAAAAGGAGTGAAAAAAAGGCAAATATCTTTCAACTTCTTCTTGTTAGTGATGAAAAACACACAAAGGCAATGGCTTATAGCACTTTTTTCACACATTACAATCCAATTATTTTCATATGTTATCAAAAATAAATCAAAAAAAGAAATTTCATTTTACAGAAAAACGTGACTTCTTTAATTTTCACGTTTATTTCAATAAAAATGTAAGAAAGTTCAGAAATGTTCTGCAAGAAAAAAAGGCATATTTTTTTCGTTTTAATTCTTTAACAATTTTGTTGCAATCTTTATTTATGTACGAAATGATCAGCCACTAAAACCGTACAGCGCTTCATAAATAAATGAATTTTATTTTATTATTTAAAAAAACATTTTCTTTGTTTTTTGAGAAATTCGACAAATTTCATGAAGATAGATCATTAGAAGAGGTAATGATCAGAGGATCTAATGATGTACCAGGTTTGTGTTATATTCGAGGTAAACCCTAAGAAATAATTGAGAAACTAACCCAAGGAATTCAAATTAAATCAAGATCAAAACCCCTCCCTTTGCATTCAATCTCAAACTTTGTTTGGTAAAGATTTAAAACCTTTATATAATTGAAATCATTTAAAGAAAATTTTGATTACCAGTTTAAAGGTCACAGTCGAGTTTGACTCCCTTGTACGAAACTATGTGTCATTAAAAATTAAGCATAATTAAAATTACGGATCACGACAACGATAATTAAATTTAAAAAAAAAATAAAGAACCCTAATGCACAAATGAAGTAATGTAAATACCGAAAAAAAACAAGGAACCGTGAAATAAAAATTCGCACATAAATTTAATTAACTAAGTAATGGCAAAAAAAAAATAGAAAGAAATATTTCAAAAATTTTAAGTGAATCGAAATGTTGAAAAATTTCAATACATAAAATCTAAAAATTTTCATCTTCAACTCACGACTTTAATTCTCACGTGTAAATTTAATTCTCCTCTCACATAATTAAAGAGAAAATTCCTTAAATTAACTCTTTTTTAAGCAAGGTTATTTTCTTTTAATGCATAAACATGTTACTGTTGCTTTGGAAGATTCATCATATCAAGATTTCTTCTTCTATATGATTTCATCCTTCCACTTTTTATTTCAACAAAACAAAGAAAACAGCCTCATGTGATGTTACGATTTAAAGAGCCGTTGAAAAACACTCTTAAAAGGCGTAAAAAATTGAAATTTATTTACTTTTTCTGTTAAAAATCTCTTTAAAAATTCAATTTACAATGTTTTCTTTAAGAAACTTCTTTTTTTTCTCGCCATCACTTCACCAGACCATCCAGCGATTGAGAAAATGAGAAAAGAAAAAAAAGTAAGCGTAGAAGAAGGCAGGAATGTGTAACATTTTTTTGATTTTATTTTAAAACACATCCAACTTACTTGTTTGTACAATCTTTTACATACTTCAACCTAAATTTCACATTTAATTACTGCTTTTTAGTATAATAAAAATAAGGCGGAAGTTAAGAGAACAAATAATTTAAAGATTTAAATGCAGGTGTTTAGAAAGAAGCATTTGGACAGTGAATCTCAACAGTAGAGATTCCATAGAACTCTCCTTTGCTACGTTCCTGTTTTTCAAACCCTTTTTGGCTATTACAGATTGGTTATCATCTTAAAAATTATTGTGTGTCAACTAAGTTCAGTTAAATTAGCTTAGGGCCGACTACTCTCAGATTTATTTACACCCCATACTAAGCAAATTTCAGTAGAAGGACGCTACTATTAAGCTGTTATATAAGTGTCACTGCTTAATACCAGATGCATAATTGTACCATATCAGTCTTCTATAACTGAACAAAAAAAAACACCTTTGGATCACTCTACAAAGTTTGAAAACCACTGAGCTCTAAGGAGAAATCGAGTCTAACATTATCAAGGTATCACGGTCAATGCTAAAAAGTA